ACTCGGGAGGCAGAGGCAGGCGGATCTCTGTGAGTTCGAGGCCAGCCTGGGCTACCAAGTGAGTCCCAGGAAAGGCGCAAAGCTACACAGAGAAACCCTGTCTCGAAAAACCAAAAAAAACAAAAAAAACAAAAAAAAAAAACCAAGTGATTTACACTGAGCAAAGACTGTACCCAGACTTCATATTTTGAAATTTGATCTTTTGGGCTAGTGATATGCAATGTGATAGTGTCACACTCTGTTGTGACATAGGACAGGGAGGCCCATGTGCAGCTCTCAGTCAGCCAAATGATCATAAAAAGCTACTGGCATTCTGCAAGGGTCTGTGTAGTGGGACTCTGATACTTCATAGGTTAGGGGTACTAAAAATACATGAGTGTATATCATATGGAATATATATGGAACTATAGATGGATATACACAAATATATATGGAATGGCACAGAAAAATGTTTTGTTTTATTCAAAAATTTCCTTAAGTTAGTTCTAGTAGCTTTAATATTCTAAGGACAGCCTATACAGAGGGACAATTACTTAAAAGCAATGGGGTTCTTTCCATTAGACCTTTCCACATTGCAATCATTACAAAACTGGTCCTTCGCAGAAATGTTTGTTATGATTTTATTTTATGTTGTAGTTAAAGACTATCTAGGAGGGTTTTTCAAAGACAGAATCAGATCATTTTCACTGGAGATAATTATTCCTGTTTAGAACATGGAACATGGAAGGGCTATGTAGAAATCTGTAGCTCATGCTTATGTAGTTAGTGAGTGCAAAATATGGGACAAAATATGTAATGTATAAAATGTCTTTGGCTTACTTGACCACGGAGATACATGTGTGTGTGTGTGTGTGTGTGTGTGTGTGTGTGTGTGTGTATGTGTGTGTGTGTATGTGTGTGTGTGTGTGTGTGTGTGTGTGTAAAAGAGAGAGCTTTTCAAAGAGAGCAGTGTTTTGTGAAATGTATTTTCAGATTTCTCTGTCTCTGTCTCTCTCTGATGTGTGACACACCGCAGTGCTGTGGCTCTGTCAGTTAAGTCGCTCAGTTTTGATCTCTTGATTGACTTGGATATGAATTCCTTATGTTCCATAAGAATATTTCATAAGAATATGCCATTCTTTAATATTTTCATATTAATTCTGCTTGCTAGGATTGAATTAGTAGATAGAAGATTGGAGTGTTAATCACATAATCTAATTTCCCCTCTTAGTCACTAGGTTCATGATTGTAAGCCAGTCTTTCTTAATCAACCCGTTCAAATCTTGAGATTTAGTGAGCACCAGGAGCTATGATCTCTCACTGTCTTAATAGTTAAAACACTGAAAAAGCCTTTCTGTCCCCGTCAACACACATGAACTGAACAAAAGGAAACCCGGCATCTTATTAAGACTGTTTGACTGGATGTGTAGTAAAAAAAATAAGTCTCTTGCCTACTTACATCTTTTTGTATCCAAATTGTTGTCAGTTTATTAGTATTCTTATTGAGATATTTTGTACGCATCCATATGATGTATGTATAAAATATGTATTACATATCAATACATACACACACGCAAAATTTCCCTGTAAAGCACAAATGTTTCATGTACAGGTTCTACCCTCTGCTTTTCTTCACTCCATTTTACAATTCATTTTGGAATGTATCCAGGTCAGAATATAGAGAACTATATTAGTCACAAAAAGGAAAAAAGCAACAAAACCCACAACAGAGTGTTCTTGTATAAATGGTTACAATTCTTTATCTATATTGCCCTATATACAGTACTATAATTTAAATAGATGGTTATCATTTCATAGGCATTTGTGTATTTTAAATCAATGCATGTCATAAAATAACCATTTGAATATTATTTTTGTAACTAAGATAAATTTTTTCCTTGATTTTATTACTTTTTATAACTTTGCAGTTTCTAAATTGACTTGTAATCATTTTATTTAGTATAAAATATTTTTCAGATTTTCAGAACACTGAAAATTTTAAGTTTGTTCTAAAGGGATTTCTAAGACAACTTTCTATAATTAAAATTATAATTTTTATCCTTGCAAATAGTCTAGTTTCCATATTCATTATATCCCAATATTAACCTCATATTCTCAACCAAAGATCATATTTTAAAAGCTCTGAAGTTCTTCACCTTTAATTTTTAGATCCACAACCTGCCAGTACAAATTATTGTTTTGAGCCACAATACTGATATGTGTATGGTTGCCTTCATTCTATACAAACAAGTCACGAATAATATAAATGAGCTTAGATTAGATCAGATGCGATGAGGACTGAAGAGTGATGGTTGATGCAAACAAGAAGAGTGATTAGTATTGTTCTTGCTGCATGATGAATGGCACTATACCATGCATTAAAACAATGGATTGTTCTTCAGAATACCACAGACTCTTTAGTAAAACAATGATGGGAAAAATATAGTTCTCTATCATTTAGCAAAATGTAAGACTTATAAAAAAAAGGTTGAAAACTTTCTTCAAGTCTCAAAGAACATTGTGGTACTGGTACTGATGAGAATGCATACCGTGTCCTTGGTAATGGGCTTAGTGGGTTTTATTCATTTCCTCTGCAGTTCTGCTCTGTGATAGTAAACTGTTTTGATCTCTGAGTACTTACCTTAAAGTGGACCAGGAACTGCTCTACCCTTGGGGGACTGGTAGGATTCTAATGATTCTGTTAGAGGTACCATGTTAAACACAAATGAAATAAGTCAAGAGAAATACACATGGTGAGTATATCAAAGAGATACTTCTACTCCTAGGCATAAGGCAGTTGCTTAGCAACCTGTGTCACACTTCATGGTCATTTGTTAGGAAAGACACAAAGTCAATGCTGACTCAAGGCATAAGATTGCAAATAAAAAACAAACAAAAAACCCCCATACCCCAAAATCTACAATCTGTTGATTTCAAGAAAAAGCTTTTTCGATGAACATATAACTAGTGAAAGATATGAATCTATTTGAAAGTCTTCAGAGCATTAATGAAACTGTCCAAAAACAAAAACTAAAATTACCTTCAAATCCAATAGGGTGTAATGGCACAGACAATAAATTACAATTTGTACGAACTGTTCCTACATGCCAGGATCTACCTTCGGAACAGTGATATTCTGTAAGCTGTAGTAATCTAAGTAGTCTGCACTACAAACCTTCCCACAGGCTGTAGCATCTACCTCAACTTTTGAATTGGGAGTTTTATTGGTAATAATAATAGTAATACTACTTATGATTTTCTTTTATCTCCTTAGTCAATATCACATTTTAATCTGCAAAGTTTGTGACATACAAGATGAGACTATGAAATGGGTTTCAGGTTAAGAGGGCTATGAAGGTTATTGTTTTAGTCCTGTAAACCCTGCCTATTGAGCATATAAATGACTGATAGTTTTTATTCTTTTTCTGGATAAAGAATTTCCTTCTGATATTTGAATGTTGCTTCACTAATACTTTCTTTGTTCTGCAGAGGAGTGCTTCAACAAAGGGTTTATGCAGTGGCCTTTTGACATTAGACAGTGTTTAATATGAGCCTCAGTTTTCCTAAATGTATAACAGGGCCATAAAATAGTCCTTTCAAACAGCTGTTGTGAAACTTTAATAAAATAATATTTACAAAATGCCTGTTACATAACATGTGTTAGCTATATGATAATTATCAGTATTCTATGGTATAGACTAACAGGACAGTGTGTAAGTAGAAGTATTGTATTGGGTGAGGGGGGCTAATGAAGGGCAAGGGTTGGGGGAAAGCAAGCTTAGGGGAGCGGGAGGTCCCAGCTGGATGAGGAACAGAGAGGGAGAACAAGGAAAGAGATACCATGATAAATGAAGACCCCATGGGAATAGGAAGAAGCAGAGTGCTAGAGAGGTCCCCAGAAATCCACAAAGATACCTCTACTATAGACTACTGGCAAGGGTCAAGAGTGTGCCTGAACTGACCTACTCTGGTGATCAGATGGCTGAACACCATGATAGATAGCTGTCATGATAGAACTCTCATCCAGTGACTGATGGAAGCAGATACAGAGATTCATGGCCAAACCCCAGGTGGAGCTCCAGGAGACCAATGGACGAGAGAGAGGAGGGATCATATGAACAAGAGATATTGAGACCATGATTTGAAAAAGCACAGGGACAAATAGCCAAACTAGTGGAAACACATGAACTGTGAACCAACAGCTGAGGAGCCCCCATGGAACTGGACTAGGCCCTCTGGATAAGTGAGAGAGCTGATTAGCTTGAACTGTTTAGGAGGCCCCCAGACAGTGAAACTGGGACCTGTCCTTGGTGTATGAGCTGGCTTTTGGGAACCTAGGGCCTATGCTGAGACATTTTGCTCAGCCTTGGTGTAGGGAGGAGGGGACTGGTCCTGCTTCAGCTGAATCTACCAGGCTGGGCTGACTCCCCAGGGGAGACCTTGTCTTGGAGGAGGTGGGAATGGGGGGTAGATGGGGGGAAAGGCTGGGGGGTGAGAGAAGGGAGTACAGAGGAATCCATGGCTGATATGTAAAATTAAATTAATTATAAAATAAAAATATTTAAAAAATGATAAAATATTAACTTGTGGTTTCTACTGAGATATAATTCCTTGAGAAATTAAATTAATCACACTTACCTAGGACTTTGGTATTATTATCACATTCAATTATTAAATATACTTAATATTATTTGTGCTATAGATGATAACTAAACTACATGGGATTCTCAAGAGAAATAGAAACATTAAAATATGTCTATCTGTCTACCTATTCAGTCATCTTGATACCCTGTGAAGGGGATGAGGGTAGGTGTAGCTAGAGTTTTCCTGCCTTGCCCACAGTCAAGACAAATCTTTGTCACCCACCAGCCCCACAGCCGCTCAGACCCAACCAAGTAAACACAGAGACTTATATTGCTTACAGACTGTATGGTGGTGGCAGGCTTCTTGCTAACTGTTCTTATAGCTTAAATTAATCCATTTCCATAAATCTATACCTCGCCACGTGGCTTGTGGCTTACCAGTATCTTCACATGCGGCTTGTCATGGAGGCGGCTGGCAGTTTCTCTGACTCAGCCTTCCACTTCCCAGAATTCTTCTCTTCTTTGTCCCGCCTATACTTCCTCCTGCCTGGCCACTGGCCAATCAGTGTTTTATTTATTGACCAATCAGAGCAACAGATTTGACATACAGACCATCCCACAGCAGGTAGGTGGTGACATAAGCTGATAGTGTGGCAATGTGTGAAGGAGAAGAAAAGTATTTGTGGTCATTTGAATAAAAATGGTCTTAGCTCTTTCTTGAAATTCCGGTAGAATTCTGTGCTGAAGCCATCTGGTCCTGGGCTTTTTTTGGTTGGGAGACTTTTAGTGACTGTTTCTATTTCCTTAGGGGTTATAGGTCTATTAAAATTGTTTATCTGGTCGTGATTTAATTTTGTTATGTGGTACTTATCCAGAAAATCGTCCATTTCTTTTAGATTGTCCAATTTTGTGGAGTATCGGTTTTTGAAGTATGATCTCATGACTCTCTGGATTTCCTCATTGTCTGTTGTTATGTCTCCCTTTTCATTTCTGATTTTGTTAATTTGGATATTCTCTCTCTGTGGTTTGCTTAGTTTAGATAGGAGTTTGTCTATCTTGTTGATTTTCTCAAAGAACCAACTTTTTGTTTCATTGATTCTTTGTATTATTCTCTTTGTTTCTATTTTATTGATGTCAGCTCTCAATTTGATTATTTCTTGGCGTCAATTCCTCCTGGGAGAATTGCCTCTTCTTGTTCTAGAGCTTGCAGGTGTGCTGTTAAGTTGCTAGTGTGAGATTTCTCCAACTTCTTTATGTGGGCAGATGGTGCTATGAAATTTTCTCTTATCACTGCTTTCATAGTGTCCCATAAGTTTGGGTATGTTATATATTCATTTTCATTGAATTCTAGGAAGTCTTTAATTTCTTTATTTCTTCCTTGACCCACTGGTGATTCACTTGAGCATTATTCAGTTTCTATGTGAGTGTAGGCTTTTTATAATTTTTGTTGTTGTTGAAATCTAACTTTAAGCCATGGTGGTCTGATAAAATACAGGAGGTTATTCCATTTTTTTTTTGTATCTGTTGAGATTTGTTTTGTGACTGAGTATGTGGTCAATTTTAGAAAAGGTTCCATGGGGTGCTGAGAAAAAGGAATATTCTTTTGTGTTAGGGTGAAATGTTCTGTTGTTATCTATTAAGTCCACTTAAGTCATAACATCTGTTAGATTCCCTTATTTCTCTGTTAAGTTTCTGTCTGGAAACCTGTCCATTCACATGGATCGCCCTGGGAAGGGAAAGAGATGAGATCTTCATGAGTAAACTGGGGGTGAGGTGGGGAATGGAGGGTAAGGGATAGGGGATGAGAACTTAAGGGAATGGGATGGTCGAACTGGAACAGGGACAGAGTGGGAGAGCAAGGAAAGAGATACCATGATAGAGGGAGACATCATGGGAATAGGGAGACTTCACGGGTGCTAGGGAAGTTTCCAGGAATACACAAGGATGACTCAAGCTTAGACTACTAACAATAGTGGAGAGGGTACCTGAGCTGGCTTACCCCAGTAATCAGCTTGGTGAATACCCTAACTATCATCATAGAGCCTTTTTCCGGTAACTGATGGAAGCAGATGCAGAGACACACAGTCAAGCACCAGGCTGAGCTCTAGGAATTCAGTCAAAGACAGGGATTATATGAGGAAGGGGCATCAAGATTATGATTTAGGAAACCCACAGAGACAGCCAAACCAAGCTAGTAGGAACTCAGGAAATTTATACCAACACCTGTGGAGCCTCCACAGGACTGGAATAGGCCCTCTGCATAAGTGAGACAGTTGTGTAGCTTGATCTGCTTAAGGGACCCCCTGGCAGTAGGATCAGGATCCATCCCTGGTGCATGAGCTGGCTCTTTGGAGTCTATTACCTATGATGGGACAACTTGCACAGCCTTGATGCAAGGGGATTGGGTTGGACCTGCCTCAACTGGGCATACCAGGCTCTGCTGAGTCCCCATGGGAGACCTTACTTTTTCGGAGGAGGGAATGGGGAGTAGGTTGGGGGGAAAGGCTGGGGAGGGGAGCAGGAAGAGGAAAGAGAGCAGGGTCTGTGATTGGTATGTAAAATGAATAAAAGTTTTTTTTTTTTGATTTTTCGAGACAGGGTTTCTCTGTGTAGCTTTGCGCCTTTCCTGGAACTCACTCTGTAGCCCAGGCTGGCCTGGAACTCACAGAGATCCGCCTGCCTCTGTCTCCCAAGTGCTGGGATTACAGGTGTGCACCACCACCGCCGGGCTGAATAAAAGATTTTTAATAAAAAAAAAAATCCCCTTGGGCTCATAGGGAGTTGCATTATTAAGAAGTGTGGCATTGTTGGAGTAGATGTGGCTTTTTTTGGAGGAAGTGCATCACTAGGGGGTGGGCTTTGAGGTCTCAAATGCTCAAGCCAGACCTAGTGTGATGTTCACTTCCTGCTAACTGGGGATCCAGTTGTAGCACTCCCAGCTCCTTCTCTAGCAGCATGTCTGCTTTCATGCTGCTATACTTCCCCACCATGATGATAATGGACTAAACCTCTGAACTGTAAGCCAGCCCCAAGTAAATGTGTTCCTTTATCTGGATGGTGATGGTGCACACCTTTAATCCCTGCACGCAGGAGGCAGAGGCAGATGAATCTCCATGGGTCTGAGGCCAGCCTGATCTACACAGTGAGCTCCAGGACAGCCAGGGCTACACAGAGAAACCCTGTCTTGAAACCAAACCAAAGCAAACCAACCAACCAAACACAAAAGTTTTCCTTTATAAGATTCAGCATGATCATGGTCTTGTCACAGCAACAGAAACCCTAGCTAAGACATTATTCCACCTGAAATATAAAGCAAGTCTGTCCTTTCCCACCTTTTTGTCTGTTCTGATCCTCAGTGGGTCAAATGATGCCCACTTGGGTTAAAGGTGATGGATTTCTTTACTCAGTCAACCAATTTAAGCTTACCTCTTCCAGAAACACACTCACAGACACACCCAGAAATATTCGATGTTTTATCAGGTACCTGGGTGTGTTTTGTGCAGTCAGACTGATCTCAAGTAACCATCTCTTAGACTTTTTCTGTTGTTCTGCAGGAATACTTGCAATAAGCACGTAGTTCTCAAAATCTGTCAGGAAGTGAAAAATGAATGCTTCTTTCCCAATGGAACTATAATGTCTTTAGTGTAAAGATGCCAAAACACCTCACCATCTTCTCTCAGACTCACAAATAATTTACCTTCGAAGCAGAACCCAGTCTCCCCCTCCCCTCCTTTTTTTTTTTAAAATAGAATCTCTGAGCTTAATTGTGAGGGTGTTTCCCAAATCTGTTAATATTTTCTATGATGTTGAATTTAGTAATCCAACAAAGTCAATTGGGAAGAATTATGTTCTCATGAGAAGGAAATTCCAGAATCACCCTTTAATTATATGCTAGCCCTTTTTCCCCAAGACTGTTTCCTTCCAGCTGTCCTCCCAGTGAGAGTATATAGCCCTTGTTAATTTGGTCTCTTCAGATACTTAGTATATACTCAGCACTGTACTAGGTTCTGGGAATTCAGTGTTGAACAGATCAGAAGTAGACCTTGCCCCTCGGGCAGTGAGAGATACAGGTTGAAGGGACCAGTGCCTGGAATGGAATGAGTAGATGATGGAGAAGGCTGACATCACTACTGGCTGGGTGAGTGAATTGGAAGAGTGGCCAGAAGAATCTCTGAGCAAGTGTCACATAGACTGAAATCATTCAGGACAATGTGTAGAGCCTGGGGCTCCACGTTCCTTGTGGGCATTGTCTCTTTAGAATCTGCACCTGGGGCTGATCTTTCTTTGTCTGCAAGAATTCTGAGTTTGAATAGTGCAATGTGTTCTTCCATTTTCTTTTTCTTTTATGAAGGCATTTGGCTTTTATCTTTGTTTTCTGGGACAGCTGTTTCATTTTACTGATGGATGTAATGTCATCCTAAGGCAGGCTGGTGCGTCTTTCATTTTATGAGGACTGTTTGCTTCTACCAGTTTTTGTTTCAACCTGTGCCTTTCTATACAAACCATGAGCTCCTTAACAATAACCCAAAATTATCTGATGGTACTGATAAAGCAGGAGCTGCTAAGCACCAATTGGAACTGGCCATTCCATTTTGCAGGTTTGTTTGTCTACATATTAATCACTAGTTTCTCATAAACAGTCAAGCACTCCCTGAAAATAAATTTGTAAGGTTTTTATTTAGTGCAAATTATTCTGTTTTCATCAAATTTTAACTGTTTTAAATTATGTTATTTGTGTTTAGAGAGAAATCTCTTCTAACTGCAACAGGAAAGCATCCTTGCATTGGTACAAGTCGTCTTTTCACTTCTGTAATCTTTCAAAATATATCAATACGCAATTGAAACATTAGTAGGTTAGAAATCATGTTACACATTTATATCATTAAAGCCTAAATGACAGATTTCTATTTTGCTATAAATTACAATCTACATGATTATTTGGATGATTAGGAGACATCAAAATTATAATTAGCACCAAACAAAAGATGTTACAAGAAAAGAAGTCAAACCATATGAAACATAAAATATAATGTTATGTCACAATAACACCTGTAACCCAAGTTTTATGTGTACTGTTTTAAATGCACTATCTGCTGATTGCCTCTAACTCTCACCTGTGAGGTACAAAGGTAAAACAGTTGTTTACATAAACAAGCTAATTAGAATTTATTTTTCCTAAAGAGTTTTTATTGCTTACCATTAATTAAAAAACAATAGAAAACTAAGTTGCTTCATAAATTTTTCTATTTGTAAAGATTATAAATAGCCATAATTATAAAGCATGAAGTCAAGTTACCTCCATAAATAGCTGTAAATCTTTTTATAGACTCCTTTGACTCCCGCTCTCTCTCTGATAAAAAGGCATTTGGGAACAAACATGAAAAGAATTCAATTTAATTTATGGAATGATGTTTTGAAGGAATTGTAAAAATACAAAGAGTTATTTTCTGTAGTTCAGCTGACATTTTGCATATGGTTACTAAGTTTTGCACT